GTTTGGTTTTCAGGACCAGATGTAGCTTGAAATTGGGGTCAAGTAGCAGAAATGTTAGATTTTTTGCCAATTTTCCTGAGGATGGGTAAGGCCCCTTCCCCCTACACCCTGTCTGTCTATTTAATGGACTTTTACTAGATCTGCTTCAATTTTTGGAACACTGTAAACCATGACCAATCATTCCTAGTTATATTTTATTTGAAAAATAGGGTAAATCTTTTTATGACGAATTTGAAATGGAAGGCAAGTGTAATATAGAGAGGCCTGGGGATATGATTAATGAACAGAGGAAGTGTTTTAGTGCCAGGAATATTCCGTCTAGTGTTAATTTTGGACTCTGTTTTAAAATTTGAATTTTTTTTAATTTTGTAAAACTGGTCAAATACCAACTTCTGTGCACTTCATAGGGTAATTCTGATAATTGAATTGGCAGTTTCTGGTGCTCAATCAATGGAACAGAAGGCATACTAGTAAATAGCTTAAGAATTTGGTGGAATTGAGCAATGGAATTGGCTTAAAGTAGGTGAAATTGCCAATTCCTAAATTGCAATCAGACCTCTAACTTTGCACCTGAGTAATTTTGTTGGTTTCCATTAAATTTTGTACTTTTGGTGTCATTACCATCAGAAGAAGATTCTCTACCACTGCAGAAGAAAAAAAATATATTTAAAAATGTGTACAGACCCATTTTAATTTTTGAGCCTGGACAGTGAAACGGTTAGAGAGATTTTGCCCGTATTGTATGCATTTATGTAAATTTGAGTTACTACAGTACGTGTACCCTGCATTCAATATTGTATGTACTTGCGTATATGTCAAAGGCATAACCTTTGCTAACCTTTACGATGATTAAGTTTGAAAATGTCTCTGAAGGGTAGGAAAACAGCATACAGTACCATAAGAGAAATAATTGTTTAATACCAGAACATTTAGTTTAATGTATTGTCACCATAAAGTCATTTTTTTTTTAATCAGGTATGCCGCCAGTTTTTCCTCAAGACCTTAGATGTATCCGAAAAAGCATCAAGAATTGTCTTGGAGAAGATGGTTCGAGGAGAGTTGGGAAGTGAAGGAGGTGCTGCCACTCCACCACCAGGCAGTGCTCGTCCTCAGTCCTCACAAGAAGACCAACTCTCCAGCAAGAATGGAGATGATGCCAATCTGAGTAATGATGATGATGAAATAAAGAGTGAGGGCTCATCATGAGCTTTACTTCTCTTTTGTATCTTGAATGTTTGTTTACATTTTATTATGTAATAGTGTGCTGTCTGTACTTAGCCATGCCCACTAAAAGGGGACTGCATAATAGGCAATTTACGTGAACTTCATTGTATTAGGTACTAGGAATTCGGATTTTGGTGAAGGGAAAAATTGCACCTGCAGCATGCTGACATCTGAATTAAATGTGGTTTGTTAGACCTTTGACTTTTTTTTTTTTTTTTCCTCCTGGTATAAGGCAAGGTTTCCTTGGTAACTGCGTGTTCAATCAATATTTGCTTATATGGCTATATTTTATCAGTGTTTGATGCAAATGTTACGAAAAGTCTAGAACCTCAAAATAGCATGCCTAGATAAATGTAGGGGAAAAACCTGTATCAATAATTTATGTGCTGAAGTATGCATTCCTTAACTTCAAGAAAAAAAATAAATGTTATTTTGTTCTATTAAATAAGGAATGATTTCAAGCTTGAAGACTAATAGGTATTTTTTGTGTATTTCAAGCTTGAAGACTTATCAGTATGTATTTTTGCATGCATATACACATCTACATACTGGCAGTAGATCTCCCATTCCAACAATAATGTGGATGGTTCTGCTCGGTTGACCAACTCCATTATTTTTTTTTTGTTTGTTTTTTGAAAGTCAATCATATAATTACTCAGAACTTAATTTAATACTGTAATTGCCCATTTCATGTAGAAATATGTAAAGAATCTATATTAAATCAAATTATATGGTTGAATTTACTTGTTTTATCTTTTAGGTAAGGTTTTTTATTGATATTGTATTGTACTGTTAAACTTTTGATCCTCTCCAGGCAAGTGCCACCCCACTGAGATGGGAAACAGGGTAATGATGATTAAATTTGAACACTGTGACTTAGAAATTGTGTACAATGCAGCTAATGCTCATGTTCCAAGTGGTGAATAATTCATCCAGCATTAGATTTTTACAATTCTTATGATTAATAAATTTACATAATTATTTGACCATTGTATAAGCATCATAATCAGTGATTTTCTACATGATCTCAGATCCTTGCACAAACAGGTAGTACATGATTTCTGCTTATCACAGTTATATGCCATCACTCAATAGAACAGACTAGTTGCTGAAGTATAAAACACACATAAATATTGGTAATCACACACACTCGCATATAGTAATTCTCACTCATGCACGTGTTCACACACACACACACACACAAATGTTTGCAGATGCAAATGGTATGATTTATGAATGATGGAATTTAATATAGATAAGTGGTGCTTGGACATCCAGCAGGCATATGTGAGCGTGTTAGATAAGTGAAGGCAAATAGTTTTTGGGATTTGACAAGCTGTTGGAGTGTGAGGAAGGTACCATTTTGTGAAGGGATTCAAGGAAACCAGTTAGCTGGACTTGAGTCTTGGAGGTGGAAAGTACAGTCCCTGCACTCTGAAGGAGGGGTGGAGATACTTACAAGTTTGGAGGGGCATCTGAACTATAGTGTCTGCTCACCTCTGGCAAGACAGCGACAGAGTGAACGATGGTAAAAGTTTCTTTTTCAGGTCACCCTACCTTGGTGGGAGATGGTCAGTGTGTTAAAAAAAAAAGTGGTGCTATGTTTATCCATTCGTAAATCTAAGGTGATTTTAACGCTTGCTGCTGGTGAAAAAAGATTTCTCTTTCACTGATATATTGTATGATCTGTTGACAACCCTTTACCTGTGATGACTTCTAGGTACCTTAAATGGTTTTTATGACTTGATTTGCTGTTGGAGTGTGAGCAAAGTAACATTTATGAAGGGATTCAGGGAAACCGGTTAGCCAGACTTGAGTCCTACAGGTGGGAAGTACAGTGCCTGCACTCTGAAGGAGGGGTATTGATATCTACCTACCTGGAGTCTACCTGAAGGGTATTTCAGGGATCAATGCCCCCGTGGCCCAGTCCATGACCAGGCCTCCTGCTGGATCAGGACCTGATCAAGTAGGCTGTTACTGCTGGGCCCCACATAGTCCATCGTACGAATCACAGCCCAGCTGATCCAGCACTGACTTTAGGTATCTGTCCAGCTCCCTCTTGAAGACACCAAGGGTCTATTGGTAATTCTCCTTATGGCTGGTGGGAGGCTGTTGAACAGTCTTGGGCCCCGGACATGGTGCATTTTTTATAAAATAGTGTAGGCATGTCTCAGGCAAGATAGTGATGGAATGAATGATGATGAAAGTGTTTCTTCTTTTTCTAGTCACCCTGCCCTGGTGGGAAGCAGCTGTGTTAATTGAAAAAAAAAATATTTCATGTGGTCTGTTATGGCTTTCTGTCATGTAATAGAAATGATATAAAGCCATAACAGGCTACCTGAATATACATTATGAAGAAATATTAAAAGTATTAAGGTATCTAGAAATCATAGGCAAAAGATTGTTAACAGATCATACATTATGTATACAAGTGAAAGAGAAACTCTTGCTTCACTGGCAGCAAGCATTAGAATAACCTTAAGATTTGGGGGATGGATCAACACTAAAAAAAAATAATATATATATATATATATATATATATATATATAATATACACACACATGTTAGGTCAAAAATTTAAATACAGCACTGGTGTGATATATGCCTATGCTTTCAACATGTCAAAAAATGGGTAAGTTTCAAAAGACAAGTTAAATAAGTAATGGGTCCTCAAAACTTAAAAAAATACGAGTTATGCATAAAGACTAAAAAAGGGTCTAAAATGTCATTGTTGGTAAAAAAAAAAAAAAAAATAGGAGGTATAAGAGTAGATATGAAAGTCACAAATGATTATAAAAATAAATCATAAAATTGTAACATATGTAACATAAGAAACATACATAACACACCCTTAAAATGAACATTACACAAGCTATACAGTACTCAAACATGCATACACATCCATATATATACATGAATATTTACACACATGAACATGCATATGCAGTACATTGATATATAATTTAATATACATTACCTGTATTTATTGTGCTTTTATTGTTTTAATATAAATGTGATGGCAAAAATTAATGCAATGCAAAAAACCTGTGCCTAGTATACCGTGTGGTTGTGATATATGGTACTTGGACAAAAGAAAAAAAAAAGCTTATTAGTTCTTTAGCACCATGTATTGTTGTATTTAAAAGTGTGGCACTGAAATTTTAAAATATAATAATCACAAATCCCAGTACATTTTTTTCACATAAGCTACATCACTTATTTATTCATCTGTCTTCCCATGTCACTGTTTACCCAGTTTTTTGGGAAGTGACATCTGAACTGTCATATTGGCACGCCTCTGCAAAGACAGTGATTATGTGTGAATGATGGTGAAAGTGTTTCTTTTTTGAGCCACCCTTCCTTGGTGGGAGACAACCAGTGTGTTGGGAGGGGGTGTAGGGTACAGTAATGGTATAATACGTTTTTAAAAAACAATCGACAAATTGGATGAGAAAGACACAATCACACCTGTGTATCGTTTAATTCTGAGGACATTTTGTCACTATGGCTTAATCAATTCATACAAGTTTATTAAAATTTAACACTGGATACACTAGAAGATGAGTAATCAGGCCCTCGAGCTTAGAGGTGTTCACCCCATATCTTGATTCATCAAGACTGTGGTGTGACATCAAGGTTGAGGTACGATTGCCTCATCTACTGTCTCCAGTTTCACATTTTAAGTAACCTCTGTATCAGATTGATAAAAGTCCCCCTGGTACGTCAGCATGTCTTCTGAATCGATACCCATACTGTTTGCACACGAGTCTTATATCATCAACCTTAAGTGAAAAAGTTTATATACACTTCGTTTTTCAAGATACAGCAGTGTGATGCATGCACAAAAAGTTACCAGGAAATAAGAGCTATTCTCCAGAATAGATCAAACCTGATTGACTTCAATTCCCTAAATGCTGAAGACCCCTGTGGGTTTAGTGTTTATCACCATGAATGTAATAGTCTTGAAAACTATTACCATAGCCATATTTTATGATATTTCTCCTCCCCTTTAATCATAGAAAATTTACATAAAATAGTAAAAACTTATATAAAAATAAAATTAATTTAAAGCAGCTACCCAAAATCAATAAGCTTAAATAGTATAACGATACTTTTCCAAACAGTGTGTTTTAATCCAGCAGTATATCTGTTAATTATTATTATTATTATTAAAAACAAAAAACGCGCTAGCCACAAGGGCTATACAAGCGCTGCAGGTAGGGAAGGAAGCAAGGGAATTGGATGGCAGAAGGGAGGGGGGATGATCAGCATGTTACAGAAAACAGCGTGGGCAGGGGATAGTACGGGGTAGAGGGTAGCAAGAGATTCAAGTAGAAAGGGCTGAAAGTATCAAATTTGGTGTAGTAAGTCAGGTCGTTGTCAAAAAGTCAATGAGAGAGGTCCGGAATGAAAGGTGGGTCCATCAGCGAGAAGGGAGGTAAAGAGAGAGCAGGCGGGGCGAAGACGACGACAGAGGTAAATTCCTGCGAGCTCGTTGATAAAGGTGGGCTGTCCAACAGAATGTGGGCGACTGATAATGGAGCTTGGCAAATTCTCACAGAGAGGAGCACAAGACGCCTCTCCAAGAGATATCCATGATAAGACGAGTATGGCCAATGCGAAAGAAGAGGGAGAGAGTAGTCTCCCAACCTTCGACAATGTGATAAGAAGACGGCCAGTAACGCTATACTCGGTTTTTAATAGACTAAGTTTTGTTGCGAGTCAATATTAGACCAACGTTGTTAGGCAACGGGTGTGAAGGTGAAGATATTTACAGCAAAATAGTCCCGTACATGGAAACCCTCTATAAGAAACTGGTAGGTCCATGTACTGCTGACCGCGCAGCATGTCTGCCTTTCATTGCCCCTGTACGTCAACTTACCAGGGACCCAACAAAAAACAATATCTTATGCTTGGTAAAGATGCGGCGTTAGCCAAAGTTGGATATACGGAGGACTAAGGGTGAGGTGTATCAAATTTTTTGTATAGCCTGTAAAGCACAAAGGGAGTCTGAGACAACCACAAATGAGTGACACAGCATAGATGCAATACGGATAAGTCTGTAAGGAGGGGCAAATAATTCACAGTAAAAAATACTAGCCGAAGATATAAAATGCCTTGTACGCGCTGTCCGGAAACTCTGCTGCGAATCCTACCCGTCAGAAGACGTAGACCATCTGTGTACACAGCAATGGCATGAGAAATGAGAGTGAAGTGGTCAAGAAAAAGAGAGCGGAAGCGAACCGTAAGACAGTGGGCCTTTCGAGCAAGGGAGGGAGAAAGAACAACTCGAACAGCTGGAACTTCCAGGGGGTAGGGAAAAGTGAGATGCTACATGTAACATAGAAAGTTGGTAGTTGAAGAGAAGACAAGAGCCGAATGAAAGGCGAAGAGAGAAGGGACGGAGTAAGCAGGGCGGCCGAACAAAATAAAGAATGTCTACTAATATCAGTGACCATTCTATAAATGGAAGGATTGCGGAGATCCATGAGAGCGTACAAGTAGCGTCAGGCAATGGGCATCACGGCGATCGGATAATGATGGAACGTTCGCTTCTGCAATAGAGTCTTTCGACAGGGGAAAGAGGAGCGAAAAAGCACCAAGGCCATAAACGTAATCCTTGAGTGATGAATAGGGTTAAGGCTAGAGAGAGTAGCAGGAGATGCCGCTGAATAGATCTGGTCACCATAATCAAGTTTCGATAAATAAGGGTGAATGTAGGTGACGGAGGGTTCGACGATCCAGCTCCCCACGAAAGATGAGGCAAGGGTTTTAAGAAGGTTCAAGCCCTGCAGTGACAAGTTGCCTTCAGAGAGGAATGTGCGGTTTCCAGGATGACCTACGATCACAGAGAGGAGGCCCAGAAATCTTGAACTGTAATCACGTTCAGGGATAACGGGAGCCATAGAGGTACAAAGGATGATTGAATGACAGAGCGTCTAGTGAAAGTGATTTGGGGGATTTAGTCTGAAAAATTAAACCCTGTGTGGTGGCCCAATTGGAAACACGGTCGACTGCATGTCTGGAGAGAAACTGTAAGGAGTTGACAGTCCAGCGCCTGCACAGGCATACGAAGTCATCAGACAAGCGTGATGACCAAATAATTTGATGAAGACTAGAGGCCAAATCATAATAGCAAGGAGAAAAAGTGTTGTGCTCCAGAACACATCCCTGGGGGACACCTTCAGCTTGGATAAAGTCCCCGGGGAAGCAACTTTTATTACCCGAACACGGAAATGCCTGTCGTTTAAAAATTCTTAAGGGAAGGATGGTAGATTGCCTCGAAGTGCCTAAGGAGTTGTGGCTTGGGATAAAATATTATACCTCCAAGTTGTGTCATATCCTTCTCAAGTCAAAAAAAATGGCAATAACTGAGTGGTTATTCGGCAAAGGCATTTACGAAACATACGTAACCAAGCGCAGTAAGGGGTCATGGTAGAACGTGGGCCCTTAACGAAAGCCATAATGACGAGTGGAGAGACTGTTGTGTGACTCTGAAAATACCACCTAAACGTCTATTTTTACTAGACGTTCCATTACTTGCAAACTTGCACTGGTAAGAGCAATGGGCCCGCTAAGGTGGGAGGTTCATGTCCCTATGCCTGGTTTTCGGAAAGGG